TATTATTATTATTATTATTATTATTATTATTATTATTATTATTATTATTATTATTATTATTATTATTATTATTATTATTATTATTATTATTATTATTATTATTATTATTATTATTATTATTATTATTATTATTATTATTATTGTTATTGTTATTATTATTATTATTATTATTATTATTATTGCAATAAAACTAATTATTCGAAAAAAATTCTATGAATTCTTTAGGTAAAAATGATTGTTTATTTCTTTCTCTATCAATATTTATTCAGAAATTTTCTTTTGTCCTTCAGTCCTTATCCTTCTTCTTTTCTTTATTTTATTTTCCTCTTGACATTTATTAAACATATTTAATTTGTTGTATCATTATTAGCAACATTTGCCTGGGCTGTTTTAGAATTTGCAGAAATCAGCCTGCTAGACAACAAAAAAGGCCTAGTAAGTAATAATTGAATACTCTATTACTGACGCATATTTAAACATACTTATAAATCATTGTGAAATTAGTAATATTTGTTGATTAGTTTGTAATGTGAGATTGAAATTTTCATTACTAAATAGAATGGATTTATGGACAGAAATGTTTTACTTCTTTAGTAACACTCTAATATCAAATATTATTTTCCACCTAATTTTATATTGCTATGAAAATTAAGTTTTTAAATTCAGATTTGTTTTGTAAAAATAGTGGAAGAATATTACAGCAGTAATATGCTGATGATAGCATGGTAAAATTAATTTTTTGAAATTAGTGAATAATTAATGAATTAATGAATAATTTGTGAATTTTGTGACAATAATAAATTCAAAATTTTCCTTTCTTCCTTTTTTTAAATATTTAAAATGGCTTGTCGTTTCTCAACCACTATTAACTATATTTTAAATATACAACATAACTTATTTCATAAATCCAACCCTTCACATAGTCATAAAGTACATTTAATTATGGTTTTGAAATATTTAATGATAATGATATGGGTAATTGATGGTGGAAATTTGCAATATCAATTTTTAATTTCCATAAAATTATTAATATTTCCACTGGAAATCACATCAAGGAAGGGGAAAAGAACGGAAAACAATGGTGTAAGCAAAATTTGAAGTATTTAAATGTGAGAAATTTTTCAACAAGACAAAAATTTAATTCTGCAGCTAAAGAAGATATTTGGATATTTAAATTAATCGGATGTAATTATAAAGATCAAAGATTACTGATGCCTTAGGCTTTCTTTTGCTTTTTTCTTTTTTTTCATTCATTTTTTTTGATGAAATGACAGAAGGTGAGTGGGAGGGAAGTAGGAAGTGGAAGGAGGAGGAAGAGGAGAATGAGGATGAGGAGGAGGAGGGGGTGGAGGAAGAGGACGAGGTGGAGGTGTAGGAGGAGGAAGAGGAAAGCTGGTAGAATGAAGTAAACGCATTTCGGGATGTTTCTTCATCATCCGAGCACCTCTCCTCCACCCGTACTTAAAAGCTTGTCATCAATCAAGTTTTGTGCATGTTTGTGTGTGTATGTGTGTGCATGTTTGTGTATATGTATGTGTGTATGTGTGTATGTGTGTAATATCTATCTGTTAAGTGACTTATAAATCGGTTTATACAGATTTTCTTTCCCCCTATTTTTATTATTAGGGGATATTTCAGGCCTTTCCAAGTGCTATGAATCAAAGCCTATTGAGGGCCTGAACGGAAGATGTAATAGTTTAGGCGTCGCATTAATATTCTTTCCGTTTTTTCGATAATTTGTACAAATTTATGTGCTTTCGGAATTGTTCAATACTATTTGAAATTAATATTTTTCAAATATTTTTTTTTTAAATAAATATGTAAAATATGAATGAGTTCATTTTACTTACCATTAATTAATGCAGAATTACCTTTATAAGTTCATTTATTTTTAAATTCATTAACTAAAGATCATTATTTGGTTGAAGATTGAAACGTGCCACTTCTCTATATCATTTATCACCTGATGTGAGCAGTTGTGTGGGTGAGCGGAAGAAAGGGAAAGAGAGAGAGAGAGGGGAAGAAAGAGAGAAAGGAAAAGAGAATGAAAAGAAGTTTTGAGAATATCATTTACAGAAATAGATCGAAAAGTTTAAGAATTAGACTATTCTAAAGTTAGAATGATTGGGTGGTGATAATGATGATAATGATAATAATGACAGTTCTCGAAGAGATAGGAATAGAATAGGTAAAATGACAGAATGAGAAATGCAAAAGGAAGGAAAACTTTCTCAATTTCCTATATTAGTTCAATCAATTCCTATACTAAATTTAATAATCGTTCTTCCCTTCTATCTTCTTTTCTTTCTTCCACTTTTTTCCTACTTTTCCACTTAACTAAAGTTAATATTTAATTGTGAAAAAAAAAAACTTCAAAATTTCATAATAGAGGACAGAAATATGTCCTCTATTATGTCTCTTCTATTTCAGACTTACAATTTATTCTCATAATTATGCCACAAAAATTGTCCGTGCTTCAATTCCTTCATATTCTTCCATTTTCTCTTTTTTTTTTTTAACCATAAAAGTAAGATTAAAGTGCAGCAAAAAGGAAGAGAAAGAAACGGAAGAAGATTAAAATTGAAACAAATTATCTTAAAAGCATCGAATATAATTTCAATATTCTGGAAAGAATTAGTACTTACTTTGTAGAACATTTCTGTCACTCTATTATGAATCATTTCTAACTTAGTAAAGATTGAGTATTTAAAAAAAAATGGAAAAGAAAAAAAAAAAAGCCACCTTTTTATTTTCATAGTTAATCCATACCTAACTAAGTAAGTACATTTCTTTTGAGAATATTTGAAATTATATTCAATGATTTCAAGATAATTTGCTTCAATTTCGACCTTTTTTCCTTCCTTTTACTTTAATTTTTGCTTTTATGGTTAAAAGAAAGTGCAAAAAAAAAGAGGAAAAATATTAGAAAATTGAATCACTGACAATTTTTTTCACTGTAATTATGTGCTAATTTCTCGGTATACATTTTTTTTTTAAATTGTATCAAAT